AGACTGACATGTTGGTTCAGTAGTGAAACAGCAGGTTTGGGACACACTGATGGCCTTCACAGATGGCGTCAAGGCCCTGCCCATGGGAGGCCTTCTACTCCACCTATTAATTTATTCATTTTCCACTGCAGAGGAGGCATTGAGGCCAATGTGATTGTTTCCGATTGCCAAAGTCCCTTGAGAGTACCTTGGTTGTTTTCTTATCCAGTCATGTCTTCCCCCTCATTCTTTTCCCAAGTCCCTGTCCCCTGTTTTCTTTTTCCTACGTCAGTGTTGTGTATGTGTGTGATCTGTGGATGTAGTCCCTGTGCTGCAGGCTAGCTGATAGGTTGTGAATGTGATTTTATTAGTATTTTTGTGTTGGTGAGTCAGTGTAGGAGAAGCAGCTCACACTTGTTCACATTCTACATTTTTGGTTAGGTTTTTTTTTAAAGTGTAAATTCAGTCAGCACTTTAGAGGAACTGCTGTTGAATGGCTAAGAAGTAGCTGGCTTCTTGTATTCTAACCAGTTTAAAATATGTGAACGTGCTTTTATTTTATGGATTTTCTATGTGCATTAGCCCTATACATTGTCATCAGATGGCATTTCTATTAAGGAGGACGAAAGAAGAAAGAAACTACTAAATGATCAGAAAGTTTCTGACAGATTGTTTTTAGCAGTCACACCTTCAAGAGTTGCAACACGTACAGGGAAAACAAAACAGATGCAGTCAGATGAGTTATCTAAGGTTATAATACACGTTTTATCTTTTTATGAAAAATGGGACCCGGTACATGTAAACACACGTGAACACCTTTAAATAATGACGCATATATGATGAAGCGTGCAGCAAACGGAACTGGTGTGTTAGCATGAGCGAGTATGCATGTAAATAAGAACAATGCTGTGGAAAACAGACTTCTCACTGGGAGGACCACATGTAAAAAGTTTCTTTGACTTTATTAAAGGGAGAAAATGATTCATTGGCTTGCTCTAGGCCTTTTTAAACAAGTGTTCTTAGTAAATTTATGCACATGCACAAGCACACAACAAAAACATGCTACGTCTTTATTGCATTTTACTGAACAAGGCAGGCCGGAGCTCTGAGACAGTGCAGTGCTTCTGTCAGAGCGCTGCTGTTTCCATTCTCTCCCTCTCTCACTCTCTTCTTCTAAATAAAAGAACAAGTCTGTGTGTCCACCCTTCCTGCAGAAAGGTGGTCTAGTGCTTCAGACCAGAAGGATGTTGGCTTACTGTCTAATGCTGTTTTAATGGTACCTTGTGTGGTGGTTAGAGGGAGGCATGCAGCACCTAAGAGAAATTATTCTGACTCTCCAGGATGTTATATAATGGTCTCATTCTTTGCAGGCAGACTAGTCAAATTTGATTAACCTGTGAGCGTGTGCGTGTTCATTCATATGCTGACTGGTCTGAGAGTGGATATTTGAGTCTGCGTCATGTTTGTGTTTAAAGAATTTTAAAAACCTGAACAAATATTGAGATTATTCATAATTGTCCTGATAAATATGAGCGTATGAGACTTATTCTTGTAAATACACAATTTCAGGTGTGAATGATATTTTTCAGTACTTTCGCTTTACAGCAAGAAGGGTCCTGGTTTGAACTTGCATGTTCTCTCTGTCTGGCTTTCTCACAGTCCAAAGACATTATATTAGGGTAATTTGTGATTCTAAATTGGCCATAGGTATGAATGTGAGGGTGGGTGTAACCCACCTTTTTCCCAATGACAACTGGGACAGGCTCCAGCCCCCCTGTAACCCTAAATTGAATAAATGGTTAAGAAAATTGATGGTATTTTTGTTTTATTAAGAAAAAATGTTTCTTGTTGCCAGTTCCCAGTTCTCCAGGAGCATTTAATGTGAGTCTTTTTGTTGTCAGTTAAATTGAAGAGTGATGATTTCCATCCGAACTTTCCTGTAGCTCTCTCCCACCCTGAGTATTGGATCAATGGCCCAATTGCCCATAACTCAAAAGGAAATCAGATGAAGTTTAAGTAATAAACAGTTTTAGGATTACTTTAAAAAAAAAAGAGTCAGTGCTTAACAGCCACCGACTTCACATACATTCATGCTTCGTAAGCTCATTTCCCAAATGAACGTTATCACATATGCAAAATATTTTTTCAAATGTTGAAAGAAAAAGTGGTTGTAAGTCAATCACACCCAGCTCTCTGGGTTTTGTCAAAAGAAATTAGTGAAAACTTGGGAAATCAACAGCCTAAAGAAAACAAGTGGGTGGATGCTGGAAAATGTTAAAAAATATACATGTTGTTTTTTTTTTTAAAGGAAAATCAGTTTGCAATGCACACTGTATGACAGGGTGTGAGGGGCCGTGATCTAAGATATGCTTGCACGTGTGTGCCTACAATTGACAGCCTAACAGACTGCCACTATTTAACTGAAAAAAATGGTCGTGCTTATCAGGACTCTGCAATAAAAATACACAATGTGGCCATTCTTCTATGGTGTGTATATGTGTGGGCACGCACGTGTGTGGTAATCCATTTTTTTCCACAAATTTTTTTTCTGGACCCAATCAAGTGTATTTGAATGGAGGCCTCATTAGAATAAGGGATTTCAATGTAAGTTTGTCATCTTATTGCATATTCCCAACATATGTGTCTTTTGAATGGATGTGCGCATTTTCCACGTGTGTCACTGGTCGCTCCCTCATCAGGCCCTCATTAACTACACAAGTGACCTTTGAGGAGCTGCTGATGGATGTCTTTGGGACTCAGCCAAGCTATCCCTTGTCTCTTTTTCCACCTTCCCTCTGCGCCTTCCCCTGCTTTAACTTACGTCTTGATTAATGAAAGCTGCTCATCATTTTCTTTGAAGGTACATTTTATCTACTGCACGTGTGCTGATTCACTTCTAAAGGAGAGGTCAACACTTTCCAACAAAGGCTTCCTCACTTCAGCTTCATGGCATTTAAACTTTTATCTCAGTCTTTAATCGGTTTTGATTAAGTTTCCAGTAAAGGAACTCTTGTCCAGCATATTTCTACCCAATATGCCTGTCCCCTCCTGTTTCTGTCATTCCACAGCCTAGAGACTGTGCTCTATCTCAACAATCACTTGGAAATAGGTCGCCACTCTACTGGCATTTACGCTTGAAACAGCCTCCAAAACTCTCCACATTCCGGGAAATATGGGTGGAAGACAATAAACTCTGTAAAGTGTCACAGTTGATCCGTTTTGCATTTTGGAGAACAAAGATTCCAAATCTTTTTTTTTGTAGTAAATTAGTAGTGTATGTGTCTGGAGTGTTCAAGCTATGTATGGTTTTGATAAAGTTGGTCAGTTTCATCGCAGCCTGCTGTCTATCTGAATCACCCCTTCACTCTGTCAATAAATACTGGTGGCTTTGTTGCCCAGGCTTTGCTTAGAGCTGAGGGCCCAGTGTGGATCTGAAAGGTTTTGGAATAGAGCAGAGCAAAAATGAGATTTTACTTCTTTGTTTCCTTTTGCAAATAGAAATGAAGGTGTGTGGCAGCCCATGCGCACTTTCACAATCCTTATCCCCTGATGTTTTTGGAAAAGCTGCAGCTTATATTGGGTGTGTGTAACACTGCCTTTGGTAACCTAAAATTATCTCCAACCTGTTCCTCAAATGACCACTCGCCCCACAAGCAAGCCAGTACACATCAGCTTCCATGTTTAAATGTCCACCTTACCAGCGGAAACAAACAATTAAACAAACTGTCAGTTTGTTACCGAGACTGTTTGGGTCTCAGTGGCTAATACCCCCATTCACAAAAACGAAACAGATTTGCTTATTTTTGACTCACTTGCTTTAAATGATGTAAAACTGAGATTGTGAATCAGTTGTACTAAGTCACACTATAGTAAAAATAGGATGAGAACCTATTGGTGGTTGCCCTGTTTTGTTTTTTGTTTTCACTTTCAGAGAGCAATTCCAAAACCTAACACAAACTCTGGATGACCACTTTCAGTCACACAGTAATTACGAGTCGCCTGGTGGAAGGAAACCTGTCTCCAAATAATTGTGGTTGGATCTGGGACTGACTGCAATCAATCTCAGGCACATTGTTGAATATTTGCAGTGTTTTTACAGCTATGTTGCAGTTAAATCACAATCCTGCAGTAGCTACGTCACTGTTTGTGGAGAAATCTTCTTCTGTTTTAAATCTAGGAGGTTCTGGCTGGAATGTGAATTTAAATGATAAATAGACAGTGTGCTTTATGTCAAACACATCATAAGAGAATAGGATGGCCAAACCAACAAACAAAAATCCCTGTTTTTGATTTACAGCCTACAGTGAACATTGAGAAACATCAGACCAAGACATTTTCAACTTGTCAACTTTATTTTATGCTTTGACAGTTGTTGTGGTAGATTCAAAAATTTAAAAAGTGTAAATCAGAGTAGTTTCCTTTTCTATTCGTCCCATTTTATTGCATCTAATTGGCCAGTGAGAAAAGTATGTGTTTAATATGAAAAATGTTAAAAAATAAATGAAGTCGTAAAATACTGAGCATCCTCATTCAAGTGTGTTAGTTACTTACGTGTTTTTTTTTTTTAAACCAGTCGAACATTTTATGCAGATGATAGTCTGAAAATAATTTTTTTAGGCATGAATATACACTTTGTGGTTTATTGGTAATAAATGTGAAACATGACATTTCAAGCAGGTGTTCTTTATAAAAATTTAAAATATATTTTATTCATTAACTTTTTCTGTAAAACAAAGATCTATTTCAGTAACAGAACTACTTACAGGTTAATAGGTTAGAAAAAAAAATCTCTCATTGTTACAGCAACAGTGTATTCAGGTGCTCTGTGTGTATGATTTTTTGTTTTCATACCATAGATGTTTAACTGAAGCATTTAAAAAAAAAAGTACAAGAAAAGAAACATTTGAAGACTGATAGTGAAAAATAGCGAGTACAAGAGACTTATGAATCCAACATTGTTGGTTATGTCCAGAGTCTCTCTCTCTTTCTTTCTCTTTTATTCTCCACTTGTTTTCCAGACGATGCCTTCACTGCCCTAACTTTATTCTCTTTCAAAATTAAAAAGTAAAAAATATTCAAGTTTCCCTCTTTCAGGCCACAGAAATGGTTCTGTACAAAGTCAGTGGAAGCATCAGTCAGTCTGTCTCATTCCATCAGTCTTCGTTCCCAGCATGGATAAGGAAAAAAAAAACAAATCCCAGTTTTCTAAGCATTTAGTATTGGTCTGAATTACCTACTTTTTACAACATGCAGTTAAGTGGATCATCAATATTTCTGTGCTTTGATGTTGTTCCTTGGAGCACTGTGCCAGCGTGTGCACTGGTACATCACACAACCCACATACGTTCACTCTCTCATTGCTCTCAGCACTTTTTGCACAGAAACAAACCTTCCCATAATTTTCATTTCATTACAGCGTCGAGCGTGTTTTCTTTCCAGTAGTTAAATTTCCATTTCTTAATGCTGATGTCTAAGAAGATTGCTTTAGGATATGATTTAAGTGATTCTATAATATCAGAATAGGCAAGCATATTAATGAAGAGTACATTAGATTCCAGGATGTGAATCAATATGAAATCATTCTTATTGTCTTTTTTTGATGGAAGGGAGGGACTTGACTTATTTAAAAAGCAGTTTTCCTCTCTCCAATAATAATAATAATGATCTCTAACATCAAAGGAGAAAAGGACAACTACCTGATTCGTGTTTAGCTTCGGGGCTGGTAAAAGATTTTATAGGATCCATGACTCAGGGATGCATTAGTGAAATAACTGCTATAATCTAAGTGAAACAAAGGTTGAATCTGAAAAGCAAAGTTGTGGAAAGTTCAGCGAACACTGCAGTGAAGCAGGTCACTGGAAGACGGTGTGGTAGGTGGGGCACTGATGGGACTTCGTGTATTTGATGGCGACCTTGAGCTCCTTGCTCTTCTTGTCCCACTTGTGAATGGACGTGAGAAGCAGTTGTTGGTCCACTTTGCGGCCCATGATGAGGAAGTTGGAGCCCAGGCTGTCCAGCTGGGAGCACGGACAATTGGCACCATTCTTAATGTACAAGGTCAGCTTCTTCAGGTCCTTCTTCCTCAGCACGCCCTGCTTCAGAACTTTCTTCTTCTTTTGTGCTGCAATCAGCTTCCGGTCACCCTTTTCCTTTTTCACCTCCTTGATTTTCATCTTTAGGACTAAAGGAGAAGAGAAGAAGATATTTAAATTTATTTTTATTCAGTAAAACCCTAAAGGTCTTAATGTGTCACTCTGATCCCAGTGTTTCACTCTTATTTAAGCAGCTGTGGTATTTTTTTTTAACTTCTGGAAGTCTAGTACTGAGCTCTGTACTGTTCTAAAGCAGTAGCTATTTTACACCTCCCCCGAGTATCATCATTTAGACTTTCCTGAGCAGTGTGCAAAAACTGCATCCTTGTGAATGTCTGACTCGGGAAAAACTCCACAGTCCAACATCTTTTTGGAATTTGGTGTACATATTTTGGCAATATAAATCACAAGTCTTCTCTTTGTTGTTGTTGGGCTATTCCTGAGCAAAAATCATCTTAAATGATTTTGCTTTCAAATCTCAGACAAAGTCAGATTTATAGCGAGGTTCAGGGCAACATCCATAAGTCTAAAAAAACTGCTTGCAGCATAAGATTAATATTGCTACATGGAATCATTATCATCTGTTGTCATTCTGCCCTGCCTGTGTCATTGTTTACACACTTGCAGTGCAGTATTTTGCGACCAGCTGTGTATTTTTAGGCAAAACATATGTAGAACAGAGAACCTCTGTGCACAGTTTTATTACATGTAGGATCTGGTTACAGCAAACTCAAAGTTTATCAGCCTAATGAAGTACTGACTTGAATCTCCCATTGCACCTTCTGTTTATAAGTTCATATTTTTATATGCGAGAGATTAAAATTGAACTGCCAAACATTCAAAAGAGGAATTCTCTGGGTGAGAATTTTGACAGGTGAAATTAATCACGGGTCGGGCAAAGGTGTGGGGTTGGTATGAAGCATCGCTATGTACCCCGGCCTGCTGGAAGATCGCCATTTCACTTCTCGCCTGCTTGTCTATGGTTGCATAAACATCCCTCGGTACGCTCAGATAGGTATACAGTACATGTGAAGTGATAGCGTGTTCAAAAAGGAATGCGTGCATTGAGTTGCCCCTTGTTCACATCCTGTTTCACATCCAGCTCCTTCGCCGCGAGTATGTTTATGCGCTGTATTTGCCTGCCTACATGCCTGAGCCGCGTGTGTTTTTGTGAAAGACCGCATTCATGTGTATGTACGGCGTGTGTTCAGTAAAGGTACGGAGGATAATTCATCTCCCTCTGCTTCACTTTAAATGCCCACCCGTAATCAGTCATATTTAGTCATAAGTGATGCAGTGGGGCCCTCTGTGCTGCCTGGCCAGCATCTTTGTGACAAGCTGTGCCCACGTCTTTATACAAAGTCGCTCTCTTTAAAGTGAGCAGAGGAGGGCGTAGAGGTAGAAGCAGCTGGAAAGAGAGGGAGTGAGGAGTGTGCCGTCGTTTTGAGGAGAAACAGGTTTTCTTCAAGCTGAAGCAAGCAATCTACTTTAACAACAAGGTGTCGGCTAAACAAGACTCTTGTCATTTGTACAGCAGCTGGATAGTGCAGTAAGAAACGTCATGAGATCGTCCATGAAAAGCAGACCGTAGCAAAAACAGTGTCCAAAGATGAATAGGTAGCAGCATTCATGAGGTATGAGCTCAAGCTCTCGCACTACAGAATAACATTGTAGAGTTGTTCCTTCCTTGATCTCCAAATCCATATGTCACACTTATCTTTTCGACGCATTCCCTTGTGTCCTCCAGCCACATAAAGGCTGAGCCAATAAAACGTCTTTCTGCGGCTATCTGCAATCATGTTTCATATTAATGAACAGAAAGAATCTGTGTTTTCCTTTATGATCCCTGAAGCAACCTCATGTTAAAAGATTGAGATATATAATCCTGCAATTAATCAGACAAATAAATATCCCTGATTTGGTAACGTCACGATGAATTACAGGAGACGTGTCTGCGTTTTGGTTGCGGCTCAGAGAGTCAGGAAGGTGCGCACGGACGCGTTTTGTTGTTGTTGGATGTGATTTTATCATTTATTATGGGTCATGCTCTGTATATTCTGGCTCTTTTGTACATGTGGTTATTTTGTAAAACTGTTTTATACTGCAGGCATCTCCTCTGCGGGAAACATGAAATATGCAGAGAAAAAAGTGATCCTGGAAACACATGCTTTTGTAATTTCACAACTTTTTGTCACCCTTCCTCATTTGCTGCTTAACGTGTTTGGAACAGAGCAAATAGACAGCAGTTTATCATTAACTGTAAACACTGTAAACAATTCAGCTGCTGTGATGAACTCAAATAACAGAATATTTATATAATTATACTCTGGCATCATCTTAAGGTCATTACTATTGTGAAACACGAAGGTTGGAAAGTGGAAAGTTTGAAATTGGGGCTAAGAAATGAAGTCATTTATCAGCTCATGTGAAGAAAAAGCCGATTCTAGCAGCGAAATTAACGCGTAATGGCTGCAATAAAGATTTAATCGAAGGGAGGATCAGAAGTGAGAAACAGGGATGTGCAGGTGAGATTCTCTGTGTGGTTGCACGTGCTTTTTAATTCATAATCAAAGGAAAATAGCGTAAATACCAGTTAATCTTCATATTATGTAACCACTGACAGCTCAAAGTTAAGCTTTCGTTTTAGGTGATTTTGCTATTTTGCTATAACTTTATGTCCATTCCATTTATGTTGATGGGAGTTTTTAAGGACACAGTGCTTTGACTTTTTAGTTTGTTATTACAACTTTTCAACACAATATTAAAACACAGATTTTATTATTACGTCATGAAACAGACTTGTAAATCCAAATCAACACCGTGGTGAAATGTTTTGCTTGCACTCTTGTACTTGGCTGACTGTTATACACAAAGCAATTGCACTTTTCTGCTGTGTTGTCAGTCTCTCGCAAACTCCAGTTTACCAGACTGCAGATAGGTAAGAAAGTTTCCATAACCCTGCTGTATGCTAGTGACCGTTTGTATCCATAGTCAGGTACTATGTTTTTCAGTTTTTTACTACTTACCAAAGTCACTTGCACAGTAATGCTCCATGATGTTGTCTTTCTTCAGCTCATTGTCACACGGTGGGCACACCTTTGACACTGAGGGGAAAAAAAGAAGGAAGAAGAATTTGTCGTCACCTGTATTCAATCTCGTTTCATTTGGTGCTTTTAAAACCAGATTAGCTCATATCTAACGGCAGTGTTGAGGTCAAGTGCAGTGAGCAAAACCAAAGTTGTGTCAGTATGAAATCGTTAAGCCCTGAGCACTTCTGAGGCACTTATTTGCCGCTGCCCCCCCCCTTGTCAGAGGCTATTTGCTGCTGAGTGAACGCAGAGTCCAGTAGGCTGACTGATGTTTGCCCTGCAATTACACTGGAGAAAATGTTTTTATTCTGGCCCGTTGTATATTTTGGTGGCGCAGGCGTGGTCTCGGCTGTTCAGAAAGGTAAACGGTGCGGCGGGAGCTGCTGAACATGGTGAAAAGTGATTCAGTACACAGACGCAGCCATCACTTAGGCCACACAGCAACCGCACATTGTGAAAGAGCGAGGGGGAAACCAAAGCAACAAGTTCAGTTTATTTTTAACTCAAAATTTACGGTCATGCATGCTTTACTCAAGAGCATGTTTGGCCTGTCTAACTTTGATATGGGACTTTGTGATTGTTGTTGTTGTTGTCTGCCCACACAGTTGAGACAGAGCACATGAGGGAAGAAATACAAGCCCTGCATAAAATCCTTTTTATGTATTTTTTGCATGTTCCCATACTTTTATATTTATATAGCTGAAATGGACAAATAAGGCCTTGCTATTCAATTAATAGGATTTATAAAACGTCAGAGACTTCTCTGACACACGCATACACGAAAACGCACCACCTTGTAATTTTCCCCTCGATATGAAACATCATCAAAACAATTACTGCTTCGATTCCATGTATTTTCAGAGTATTTCCAGCTCTACACATCTAATATCAGGCCACTCATCCACCAAACAGAGCCGCAAGCCAAGAGAGCAAAAAAATATATATAATATTAGAAAGGGCCACAGAGAGAAGGATGTGGTATAGAAGCATTGCCCTGACAACATACCTATACACCTAGGGGATAAATTTGACAACATGAAGGGAAAACAGTGCAGAACTTTTGCTGAGTTGGCAGCCTTTTTTTTCTCGAGATAACTGCTTATAGGAGAGTTTAGTTTTTCTGACATTCCCTCATTGCAAGATCCAAAATATGTTATTCCCCCACTCCCTGAGTTCCCTGTGCTTTCTCTTTCCTTCTGTGTCTCCCACTTTCCAGAAACACACCTATGCAAAACGACACGCCTCTCCTTGCACTGTGCAGGCCCTGGGTTAAAAGTCAGGGTTCAGAGGTTATCACCTCAGCCCAAACCTCAGCGTCTGGCCAGATAATGAGATGGGTCAAAGTTTAACATGCTTCGCTGCTTGGGTCATGGGGAGGTGAACCCCCTAACCACCAGTGAGTGTATGCATGTGTGTGTCTGCCTATGTGTGTGTTGGAGGTAGCTGAGCCATGTTCTTGTAGAGCAACTGCCAGTTTTTTCTCCTCTGAGGGTTCCCATGCTTTCATAGGCAGGAGACCTGTGAGGCCTGCAAGGTCAGGCTTCTAATTGTTTGGTGCTGACATGCAGACTGGGACAGAAGCATGGAAAAACACACACACACACAGAAACACACACACACAGAACAAGAGACAACAAAACTTCTCTGGATTTGTCCGTCTTGAATGGTTCCCTTGAAGCCGTTCGGTCTTATTCAGACTCGGTGGTAATTCATTCTGGTTTCACAGGGGTGGTATTTTGGCAGAAGGCCCGGTTGCGCTGATGCCAGAGCATGTGTCACGAGAAAGCAGTCCCTCCATGAAACTTAGTTGAGCTTGGACCGAAAACCAGCGTTTGGATGGCGCTTCGAAATCACTTAAGGGACGACTGCCCTCATCGTCGGTCTCTGTCGAGGGAATCACCGTCATGTTCTGATGGGAATCACTGCTGCGTGGCTTGGTACTTTTTTTCCTGGACACATTTCTGCTCAGTAAATATTTTGACTTTGAGCTCATTAATATATTTTTTGCCATCATCTCAAAGCAGCTGAAGAATTTTTTACCATGCGATTAAATTGTGAAAATCTTGCTCTCACTCTGGTTGACTTTGGACTTGACCACCTCTTGTGTGCTACTTTTGGCATTTACCTACTGGGTTACGAACTTAATTACAGAAATTTTAATGTTCCAATTTATTATGACAAATGTTACTGTCTTACAGAGCTTACAGAACCTGTGGAGGATGAGGAGGTTGGGAGTTGATGATTGAGGATAAGAGGAAAGGGATAATGGGAATGGGGTGAGTAGGGAGGAGGTCTTGTGGAAGGCCCTGCTGTTAATCTTTAAACAGCAAGCCAGGGTGGAAATGGTGCACAGCAAGAGGGGGAAACTTCTCCAAAACTTCACTTACTCATAGCTCCGAGGTTAATAACATTTCAGTCTTTCTGCAGTGTCTTTTGTCTATAAAGAAATCTCCAAGAAAAACCTATTAAACTTATGAACGTGAAAACTCATTTGCAAAATAAATTTGGAATACAAAGCAGTGGCACCGTGTACCACTGCAAAGGAATATCTGTTCTCTTTAATGACATAGTCATTCTTATTTTGTTTTACTTAGCTTAGGAAATTGCTTTCTGGCATGAAATTTATTGGGCAACAACACAAATCATCGTGTCTGTTCACAGTGAATTCCTAATAGACACCGCTTGTCATCACATGATATTTAACAATCTAATTAACTTACTTTAAACATGCAGCTGAAATCACAAACACTACAAATCATATTTTATGTTTGTTTCATTTGACTGATTCGCTTGGAATCATTTTTATAGTTGGGTAAAAATGCAAGAGGTTACATGCCGCCGCTGCCTCTTTCTCTTATGCGCACTTTTGAATAAACACAAACACGTGTCTTCACACATCTGACGACCACATCTAACAGCACCGTCATCTGGTTCTCTGACATTTCTTGTACCTTATTGCTCGTTGCCCGAGCTTCACAGCGACTTTTATAAGAAGAATGTGCGCCGGTCACTATCTCATGCCTCATTTGGGTCTTTTAAGTCATGAGCAGCAGCACTTATGACATAAAATGGTACAATCCCGGAGATGAAATTCAGCGTGATTTACATCGGAGAGCCAAACATCTGTTGAAATGCGGGGCGGAGGAGGACTAAAGCATGACTTGGGGAACCCACGGGGCCCCTAAAACACAGCATGCTCCTTGCATCTGTAGGAAGCCTACACAGAAGAGAAAATACATCCTCATAACGCCTCGGCAGCGCTCCATACCCAGAGCATTGGATCATATTTTCCTTTTCATATAGTAACCAAGTTCATATGAGCAGTGACTGTTGTGCTGCTGGGGTCCTGACAGTGCTGCCTGTCTCCTTTAATGTGGTTGTAAATCACACTAGTCACATTTCATCACAGATTTCAGCAAGGACAGACCTTTCCTCCCATGCAATTTCACTGTACATATGTACATATCTTGAGTGTTCATTTCTGGTGCAAACATGCAAACTAAGTTAAGAAACAAAACTAAGAAACAAAACCAGAATCCAGTCTGTGATAATCAGGCCTACTGATTTACAGATGCTGACAGCAGCTAAAAGTGGCATCATTAAAACAATGAGGTGAAGTTGATGGTGTGGCATTAATTGTTCCCTGTCTGACAGACTGAGCTCGGCTGGCCTTTTCCGCTCCCGGGATGCCTGGGCCCTCTTTTGTCAGCAGTCAGCTTGTCTTCTGTGGTATAATATACAGACTTGTATTTCACATAATCACACCCCTTGGGCTCTTCACACACACACACACACACACACACACACACACA